TGCTGTTTTTGCTGTTGCAATTTTAGAATTTTTTAATACTGGCAGCCAGATTTTGTTCATTTTCATGGTTTCCTCCTTTCTGTTGAAATTGTCCAGCTGCTTCTTGTGGATTTCAATGGCTCCTCTGTGTGGCCTGACATGGTGGTTGTGAGAGTGGTCCAGCATTTCTGTGTTCTCCAATAATATGCTGTGTAAGATGCTTAGAGTAACAGAAACCAGCAATCTGTCTGTGTTAAGAGACTGGTCACAGATTCCCACAGTTGTGGATGACTCTAACTGATGTTCAATGGAGCCTAATTCTCACTGGGACTGGAGGGGCAGGATGCCCTATCTACCCACATTTATTTATTTATTTATTTATTTATTTATTTACTGTCCTTGTATACCGCCGTTTCTCAGCCTAACTGGCGACTCAACGCGGTTTACAACAAAATATACAGTGCACAGTATACAATTAAAACCATAAAAACATAGTACACAATATTACACGTAAATCACAATCCAATACATCTCCTAACTAAAATCGTGGTCCAATTTCATCATCCATATTACCAATCCGTAATCAACACATTCATTGCACCGAATTAACCAAATCCCTGCTTGAACATCCAAGTTTTTAGTCTTCTTCGGAATACCATCAGTAGGAGGCTGATCTTACCTCCATGGGAAGAGCGTTCCAGAGCCGAGGGGCCACCACAGAAAAGGCCCTGTCTCTCGTGCCCGCCACCCGCACCTGTGAAGCAGGCGGGATAGAGAGCAAGGCCTCCCCAGAAGATCTGAGGGTCCTGGTGGGCTGATAGGCCGAGATAGGCCAAATGGACCAACCTCCATGGCTTTCAAAGTCAGCCACAGATACAGCCTCTTTTTGTGATCAGATATATCAAATAGGCTTGGGTAACCACGGAAAAATTTGGTTCTAAACTCGTTTTGTTTTTAGGGGGCGCTTGCGTTTTTTTTTTTTTAATAATTCCGAAATTTTCCTTTTAAAAATTTCGAAATATACGAAATTTCGTATAATTACGAATCGATTCGTTAATGGCGGACGCGATTGCGCAGTATGCTAAAAAACCCTCCAAATGGGACAGGAGGAAAACTGAAGCTTCCCTCTCCCTCTGTGGTTGACTGTTGGTGTGATAAAACAAACAACAACTATAAAACTTGCACCAGACATGCCAAAATAATTACGAAATAATTACGAAATAATTACGAAATAATTACGAAATAATTACGAAATAAATTGAAAAAATTGTTTCGAATCTAATTTACTCCTCACACTATTCCTGCATGGCTCAATATTGGATCATAAGCTAATTTAAATACGAATTAATAACGAATTACGAAATTAACGAACAAAACCGCCCAAGCCTAATATCAAAGCTCTGTAGTACAGCTTGGGTGTCACTGGGATGTTTACCTTCACAGCCACGAGCATCTTGTCCTTGGTGGGGCTGAGGTTGTAGCACTCGGCTAGGAAGACCTTCCCGAAAGCGCCTTCGCCAAGCTCTCTCTTCAGAATGATATCTCTCCTTTTAATGTGTTGTACATCTGCAGGTAAGAGGGAGAGGGATCAGGAAGGCAAAGAAAAACTAGTCAACAATTTCTCCCCAATAAACAGGCTGCGGGGCATAAAAATAAAGTTGTTATTGTTATTGTTATTGTCATATTATTTATTTATTTTATTTATTTGCTGCATTTGTTGACCGCCGCTCTCAGCCCTAGGGCGACTCGCGGCGGTGTACAACATATAAAAACAGTTTACAATAAAGCACAACAAGAAATCAACATATCAATAATACACACTAATCTAAATTACACTAACTAATCCGCATCGTCACAACATAGAATCATAACCAATCTCGTAATCCATATACCGTTCCAGTTGTCCTTACCAGTCAATGTAGCACTCAGTTAAATGCCTTCTCAAATAGCCAGGTCTTTAGGCTTTTACGGAAAGCCATAAGGGAGGGCGCCTGTCTGATGTCAATAGGGAGGGTGTTCCACAGCCGGGGGGCCACCACCGAGAAGGCCCTCTCTCTCGTCCCCACCAGACGTGCCTGTGAGGCAGGCGGGATCGAGAGAAGGGCCTCCCCGGACGATCTCAAGGCCCTCGTGGGCTCATAGGCCGAGATGCGGTCCGAAAGGTATTTTGGGCCGGAACCGTTTAGGGCTTTGTAGGATAACACCAGCACCTTAAATTGGGCCCGGTAGCAGATCGGCAGCCAGTGGAGCTGGGACAACAAGGGCGTTGTATGCTCCCTGCGTCCCGCTCTCGTTAGTAACATGGCTGCCGCGCGCTGGACTAGCTGAAGCTTCCGGGCCGTCTTCAAGGGCAGCCCCACGTAGAGAGCGTTGCAGTAGTCAAGGCGGGATGTGACCAGAGCGTGTACCACCGTGGCCAAGTCAGACTTCCCAAGGTACGGGCGCAGCTGGCGCACGAGCCTAAGCTGTGCAAATGCTCCCCTGGTCACCCCTGAAACCTGGAGATCCAGGCTCAAAGATGAATCCAGAGTCACACCCAAGCTGCGAACCTGCGCCTTCAGGGGGAGGACACTTCAGGCTCTTTTCAAGCATGGAGAGGCACGGAGCTCATCACACATTCCAGAAGCAGAAATGTCCTGAAAGGAGGGAACTCTGAACATGGGCCAACAATCCTGTTTTAGCACCATTGTTCATTGACTCATTTTACTTTTGTATTGTGCCATTCTGTTTGCTAGGCTGCTCACTTCCCGGCCTCTTTTTACGTGCCGTTCCCTGGAGCACGAGTTAGTGTTAACCGATTGCCTATTGATTATTTAATGCTTGTGTCAATTGTCAACATTCTCTTTGTATTGGCTGGAGGGAGATGGGATATGGAGGCTTCCATGTTGCAACGGGAGAGACCTTTCGGGAGATATTCTTCCTGCCGTTAATCATAAAATATTTTGTTTCTCCAAGGATTGTGTGTTTCTTTGCCTTCAAGTTATGTGTTGACTTATGTTGATACATGGATTTCATAGGGCTTCCTTAGGGACCAGGATTCCATAGCAATGGCCATGCCAGCTAAAGTATTTTATTTATCATGTCAGGAGCGGACCAAACAGTTGCATTGCATTTTTTAACAAACAAACAAACAAAACAAAACACAAAGTTTGCAAGCTTGGTAGTTGATTAAATGTCCTTTGACCAGTATCTGGCCCCTTGGAGTGCCTCTGGTGTTGCCGCAAGAAGGTCCTCCATTGTGCATGTGGCAGGGCTCAGGTTGCATTGCAGCAGGTGGTCAGTGGTTTGCTCTTCTCCACACTCGCATGTCGAGGATTCCACTTTGTGGCCCCCTTTCTGAAGGTTGGCTCTGCATCTCGTGGTGCCAGAGCGCAGTCTGTTCAGCGCCTTCCAAGTCGCCCAGTTTTCTGTGTGCCCGGGGGGGGGGGGAGTCTCTCATTTGGTATCAGCCATTGATTGAGGTTCTGGGTTTGAGCCTGCCACTTTTGGACTCTCGCTTGCTGAGGTGTTCCAGTGAGTGTCTCTGTAGATCTTAGAAAACTATTTCTAGATTTAAGTCGTTGACGTGCTGGCTGATACCCAAACGGGATGAGCTGGAGATGTCTCTGCCTTGGTCCTTTCACTATTGGCTGCTACTTCCCGGCGGATGTCAGGTGGTGCAATACCGGCTAAGCAGTGTAATTTCTCCAGTGGTGTAGGGCGCAGACACCCTGTGATAATGCGGCATGTCTCATTAAGAGCCACATCCACCGTTTTAGTGTGGTGAGATGTGTTCCACACTGGGCATGCATACTCAGCAGCAGAGTAGCATAGCGCAAGGGCAGATGTCTTCACTGTGTCTGGTTGTGATCCCCAGGTTGTGCCAGTCAGCTTTCGTATGATATTGTTTCTAGCGCCCACTTTTTGCTTGATATTCAGGCAATGCTTCTTGTAGGTAAGAGCATGGTCCAGAGTGACTCCCAGGTATTTGGGTGCGCTGCAATGCTCCAGTGGGGTTCCTTTCCAGGTAATCCTCAGAGCTCGGGATGCTTGTCTGTTCTTGAGGTGAAAAGCACATGTCTGTGTTTTAGATGGATTAGGGATCAGCTGGTTTTCCCTGTAATAGGCAGTAAGAGCACCTAGAGCTTCGGAGAGCTTCTGTTCAACCATCTCAAAGTTCCCTGCTTGAGCGGTAATGGCAGCTAAAGTGGTGTCAATGAAGTTGAATTTAGACTATGGACCGCAGTTAAGGAGGTTTCTGCCTGGTGAGCTATGCTAACCACCAATGTTTCCCAAATAGAGTGAGACCCACCAGGGTGAAGATAGGCAACCGAGGCTTCAATACGATCTGCAGAAAGGATGCAATGTAATGCAAAAGGTCTCCAGAATGTACTTACAAAAACATACAGAGAAATTACAGGCTATCTTATACATTTCTGATAGCATTGCAAACTTGGAACTGCTGGTAATGGTTCTCACTACACCATCTCCTTCTCTCTTTCTTCCTGTCTTTCTTTCTTTCCTTTCTCTTTCTCTCTCTTTGCCTCCTAGTTGGAGTTGCCGTTGGCTCCACCACCAAGCCCTGTGGCTCTATTGCTATGTCCCTGCCTGGAAGCAGAAGACCCTCCACGGGATCCCGAAGGTAAATAGGATTTGAATGCTTCCTCCTCACTTATTATTTTGCCAGTGGGGCTTCCCCACGGCCTTTCTGCCAGTCTGCAGCAAAGGCCCTTCCTTTGTGCACTCCTTCAAAGCCGTGCTCGTGTCAAACCCGGCAAAAAAGAGCAAGCGAGCTTCCCACCAGCCACAATAGGACAGGAGGTCTCTTCCCGTGTGCTTCGTGACAAACGCAAAGCCCTACACAGTGCCTTTTGGGGAACCATAGGTACCTGACCCTCTCTCTGAAAAAGAAGGGGAAGGTGGCTTCTCATGGCTTCCGCAAAGCTGCATGTCTGTTGTTCACACGCCTGTCCAGTCCTTGTGCATGTACAAACGGCTCACGCTAGCCTTCCATTGCAATGACTGAGGTTGCAATTCACACTTCCCTTCTGCAACATCAAAGGCAGATGTTGGGGGTCAACAGCAGGGGGTTTCTATTAATCTTTAAGGTTTTGGGGGAAGGTTGCTATTTTCCTTATTGTTTTTTGCCAGGGATGTGTTTGACTACTCTGAGTCTTCTGTATTTGCAGGATAATATTACACTATGTAACAAAATTTGAAAACTTTTATGTTCCTGGTTTGAAAGTGTTATTTCCTGTGCAATACCTACTTATTGTTGGAATTCAGCCCCACACTGCTCAACTACGCAGTCCTCAATGAGGAACAGTTTAGTTAGTTTAGTATAGACTGTGCTGGTACGGCTGTACCAGGAGCTCCAACTTTATTTTCTTTCTGTTATCTGTTTGCAGTCATAGGGCAGGCCTCCTGTCCATCATAATTAAGCTTTGGTTACGCCCCTTGTTCAGGGCTCTGGGAGGGAAAGGAGCCATTTTTGGGCAGTCTCACACAAGGAAGCTAAACTATAGGACGTAGACCAGCTTGTCCCGTAGAAAAGCTCCTTTTCTCAAGAGCTTCCAGGGAAAAGGAACATCCGGGGAAACAGAAACAGACATTCAAGGGAAAAGGTCCCAAGCTCTGGCTGAGAGCTCACAGCCTCTCAGCCTCACAGCAAAGAGAGGGAAAACAGCCCTGAAGTTCTCAAAGAATTATCTGAGGGAGGACAGATCCACGGAACTCCATCTGAAATATCTTCAAGCCTCAGCTGGTAGGTCTACTCGATACCCAGACGTATTTGGAATCGGTAGTAGGACCCACACCGATGAGGCATAGATAGTAAACAGCCTGGGAAGGGTTAAATAGGGTTTTTCCCTACAGAGAAAGTACAATTAATTCAAGTCAGGTACCAGTCCATTGAGGACTAGACTAAGAAAGCCTTGAAGTGTTGTTTGAACCATCGAAGATTTGTTGTTTTTTTCATAATAAAGACTTTGTTGTATCATTAAAGACTCTAAAGGCCATCACACTTCAGAAAAATCCCTGAGAACCTCTCTTTGAGGCGCCCTGGCTTCCCGTTGGGCTTAAAGTATACGTCCTATAGAAAAGTACAGCTGTTACAGGCCCAGCGCGCGACAGAACATAGACTAAGGGTTTCCCTTCCCTCATGTCTCCTATATGACAGTTTGAAATGCATCTATTCCTTCTCTCCTCTCTGTTTCTGATCTCATTCTGATTGGTTGTGTAGAATGACTTCTGTTTCTTACATCGGAGTATGTGCTGTGTGCTTTGAGATCTCTCTCTGCGTGTGTGACAGAGATGTAGTGATTGGTGTTTTTCCCCTTTCTTTGAAACATTCGAAGAGATGGGTGTTGGAGTAGCTCAGACCCAGTTCTTTACTATTAAGAAATGCAGTTATTGTTTATTATTGTAAAGAAACCTTTTGGGATTTTTAAGATTGGACTCTTGGCCTGCCTAAGCTCTTAATTATTTCAGCCACAACCAACGCCACTTCACACTTTGTTTGCTAGTTTGCTGTTGTTCAACTTTTAAGTATCCTGTTTGATTTTGGATGCTCTGCTATATTTTAGGGTAGTTTTCCTTAACACTTTGAAATTTTTTTTTTACAGTATTTATATACCGCTTTTCTCACCCCTAAGGGGTCTCAAAGCGGTTGTTATACTCCATAAACATTGTTTTTGTGGCACGAACTATGTTGAGTTGGTTTATTTGTCGTGTCAGGATAACCAGTCAATTGTATTACATTTCTAACAGAACAAAACAAACAAACAGACAAACACAAAATGTGCAAGTTTGGTAGTTGATTAAATGTCCTTTGACCAGTATCTGGCCACTTGGAGTGCCTCTGGTGTTACTATAAGAAGGTCCTCCATTATGCATGTAGCAGGGCTCAGGTTGCATTGCAGCAGGTGGTCAGTGGTTTGCTCTTCTCCACACTCGCAGGGCGAGGATTCCACTTTGTGGCCCCATTTCTTAAGATTGGCTCTGCATCTCGTGGTGCCAGAGCGCAGTCTGTTCAGTGCCTTCCAAGTCGCCCAGTCTTCTGTGTGCCCAGGGGGGAGTCTCTCATTTGGTATCAGCCATGGGTTGAAGTTCTGGGTTTGAGCCTGCCATTTTTGGACTCTCACTTGCTGAGATGTTCCAGCGAGTGTCTCTGTAGATCTTAGAAAACTATTTCTAGATTTAAGTCGTTGACGTGCTGGCTGATACCCAAACAAGGGATGAGCTGGAGATGTCTCTGCCTTGGTCCTTTCACTATTGGCTGCTACTTCCCGGCGGATGTCAGGTGGTGCAATACCGGCTAAGCAGTGTAATTTCTCCAGTGGTGTAGGGCACAGACACCCCGTGATAATGCGGCATGTCTCATTAAGAGCCACATCCACTGTTTTAGTGTGGTGAGATGTGTTCCACACTGGACATGCATACTCAGCAGCAGAGTAGCAGATGTCTTCACTGTGTCTGGTTGTGATCCTCAGGTTGTGCCAGTCAGCTTTTGTATGATATTGTTTCTAGCACCCACTTTTTGCTTGATGTTCAGCAGTGCTTCTTGTAGGTAAGAGCACGGTCCAGAGTGACTCCCAGGTATTTGGGTGCGCTGCAATGCTCCAATGGGATCCTTCCCAGGTGATCTTCAGAGCTCGGGATGCTTCTCTGTTCTTGAGATGAAAAGCACATGTCTGTGTTTTGGATGGGTTAGGGATCAGCTGGTTTTCCCTGTAATAGGCAGTAAGAGCACCTAGAGCTTCGGAGAGCTTCAGTTCAACCATCTCAAAGCTCCCTGCTTGAGCGGTGATGGCACGATCATCAACATAGATGGAACTTCTGTCCCTTCTGGCAGTGGCTGGTCATTTGTGTAGATGTTGAACATGGATGGAGCAAGCACGCTTGAATTGGTTGAGACTTGATGAAATAGTCATTGAAAAATTATTGCAAAATATGCTGGATGTCCCAAAGGGTTTTTTATGTTGTTGTGATAGAACCAATTAGGAAATGACATTTATAACCCAGGAACAAAAATGGTGTTACATAGTGTTGCTATTATTATGATTGTTATTAATCTGCATTATAATTATAATGCTGGACCAGCATAACTAGAGGTCAACTCAAGAGTTGGATGGCAGCCATGTTGCTGAGTGGTGCTGGAACCACTTTGGCATTGCTTGAACATAATCTCTGTCAGTTTGGCATGTGCAGTGCTCACTAGGCACAAAAAGGGCACTGGACGCTGCTCGTTGCAGTGAAAGGGAAAGAAGGAAAGGAGAATCACTCCCCTCTGTCTCTTCTGCAATTGTCTCATCACTTTGGGTATCATAGAATCATAGAATCAAAGAGTCGGAAGAGACCTCATGGGCCATCCAGTCCAACCCCATTCTGCCAAGAAGCAGGAATATTGCATTCAAATCACCCCTGACAGATGGCCACCCAGCCTCTGTTTAAAAGCTTCCAAAGAAGGAGCCTCCACCACACTCCGGGGCAGAGAGTTCCACTGCTGAACGGCTCTCACAGTCAGGAAGTTCTTCCTCATGTTCAGATGGAATCTCCTCTCTTGTAGTTTGAAGCCATTGTTCCATTGCGTCCTAGTCTCCAAGGAAGCAGTAAACAAGCTTGCTCCCTCCTCCCTGTGGCTTCCTCTCACATATTTATACATGGCTATCATATCTCCTCTCAGCCTTCTCTTCTTCAGGCTAAACATGCCCAGCTCCTTAAGCCACTCCTCATGTTCTCCAGACCCTTGATCATTTTAGTCGCCTCCTCTGGACACATTCCAGCTTGTCAATATCTCTCTTGAATTGTGGTGCCCAGAATTGGACACAATATTCCAGGTGTGGTCTAACCAGAGCAGAATAGAGCATGGGGAGCATGACTTCCCTAGATCTAGACACTATGCTCCTATTAAAGCAGGCCAAAATCCCATTGGCTTATCATCAGTAAAGACACCACACAATGTCCAGTGCCATTTTTGTGCCCGGTGGGTATCGCAAACACCAGATCTATGGGGCAAGATAAGTGTCATTCCCTGTTGGGATGGTGATGTCAATGGCAGCGGCCACTTCCCAAATAGGAAACATCTCAGCTGTTTGCATGGTCCCAAAAATCATACTTTTTCTGGATTTGGGGGAAAGCTACAAATTCTGTTAATGCAGTTCAAAGTTCAATTAAGTGGTCTTGGTCCAAATTATGCAACTGCTATGAAGCTGATTCCGCCTCCTTTCAGGATAAGTGCCAATGAAAATGCACCCACTATACGTTTAAATCTGCATGAAGTCAAGCCATTGTTATATAGTATGTCCTGCCAGCATAATGGGTTGCATTTGCTGATTGCCATGGCTCCTAACCAAGAAAGTGCATTTCAACAGAGTGTACTCCCCATTATACAATATATTATATTATATTGGGATGGGGAGGGTTGGCCCCTTCCTCAGGCTTGCCTTTGCTACTGCTTCACTAATCTGTTTGCAGCGCGAGCTTTTGCCGTGTTCCATTTTGAACCCCTGCTTGTTTTGTTCTTGTCCTTTTATTTCTTTTTTTCTTCTTCTTCTTTCTGTCTCGTGTATCTCTGTGTTTGTTTTGTTGGTCTCTCTGTGTGTGCCTTCTTTTCCTTTAATTTCTTTTAATTCCAAAGCCACGAGTTTTACGACAGGAGTGGCTTTGCCTCGTTCTTTAAGTCTGCCACGGCCCCTGCCACTCCCACCGAGAAACAGCCTCTTCTTCCTGCCTCCAGGCGTCCCTCCCCACCTGTCAGCATGCGGGACACCTACGGCACCTCCTCGCTCAGCAGCAGCAGCAACTCCGGCTCCTGCAAGGGCAGCGACAGCAGCCCCACCCCAAGGTAACCCTCGGCTCTGGCCAGGGACCCCACAGCGCCACCTCCGCCGCCCTCAGCCCCCCTGTTGCACCTCAGCTAGGGTTCACCTTGCTCAAGGAAGCCAAATGTAGAAGTAAACAGTTTATTGAAAAAGTACACACACACAAGCCCAATTCAAGGTGCAGGTGCTTACCTACAAAGCCCTAAACGATTTGGGACCGCATCTCCGTTTATGAACCCACACGCTCCCTTCGTTCATCCGGAGAGGCCCTACTCACGATCCCACCTGCGTCGCAGGCGCGTTTGGTGGGGACGAGGGACAAGGCCTTCTCTGTGGTTGCCCCTCGACTTTGGAACTCCTTCCCCAAAGACATTAGACTAGCACCCACGTTGGCAGTCTTTAGGAAGAACTTGAAGACTTGGCTATTCCGATGTGCCTTTCCAGAATAGGATGACTCCCAGCACTTTGGGAGGCCCTGCTATCGACCCCACCACTGTCACAAGTGAGGCTGGTGGGGACGAGGAGCAGGGCTTTCTCAGTGGTGGCCCCTCACCTGTGGAACTCACTTCCGGGGGAAATCAGGGCATCATCATCCCTCCTCGCCTTTAGGAGAAGGGTGAAGACTTGGTTATGGGACCAGGCCTTTGGGCACTCTGGCAACTAAATCAGACAACCAGGCGAGTAAGACCAACAGGATTGATGAAGTGGAACGTAAAACTAGATCTATGAGTAGAGAACGCTGACCATGTAAGAGGAGAAACTGGGTTTGTATTTGGTTTTATTGATTTTATTGATTTTATGGTTATAATGTATATTTGGTGTTAACTGTGTATTGATGTAATTTTGTGTTTGATTGTTTTTATGATGCAGGCATCAAATTGTGCCTTGCTTTTGTAAGCCGCCCTGAGTCCCCTTCGGGGTGAGAAGGGCGGGGTAAAAGAACCCCAAATAAATAAATAAATTTGTCCTAGAAGCACTTTATTAGAGTTTAAGACTCTCTGCACATTGCACTTGCCCAGAATCCCAACATACCTCCTGTCACACCCAGCACTTTTTAATCTGTACCCATCACTGGCCCGGCCCTGGTTTTTATTGCATAATGGTGTAATGTTTTTCTTATTGCTTATGTTTTTAATTTGCTTCGTATTGTATCGTTATTGTTTACTGTTGTTGTGTTGAGGCCTTGGCCTTTGTAAGCCGCATCGAGTCCTTCAGGAGATGCTAGCAGGGTACAAATAAAGTTTAATAATAATAATAATAATAATAATAATAATAATAATAATATATTGTCGAAGGCTTTCATGGCTGGAATCACTAGGTTCTTGTGGGTTTTTTCGGGCTGTATGGCCATGTTCCAGAGGCATTCTCTCCTGACGTTTCGCCTGCATCTATGGCAAGCATCCTCAGAGGTAGTGAGGTGAGGTGAGGTGAGTGAGTTCCAGAGTCAAGGGGCTCTGGGGAGTGAGTTCCAGAGTCGAGGGGCCACCACTGAGAAGGCTCTCTCCCTCGTCCCCACCAATCGCATTTGCGATGGTGGTGGGAGCGTGAGCAGGGTCTCTCCAGATGATCGAAGAGATCGTGTGGGTTCGTATACAGAGATACGGTCACGCAGGTAGGCAGGTCCCAAACCATTTAGGCTTTGTAGGTAAGCACCTGCACTTTGAATTGGGACCAGTTAATGAACCTCCCTACCTCTGAGGATGCTTGCCATAGATGCAGGCGAAACGTCAGGAGGGAATGCCTCTGGAACATGGCCATACAGCCCGAAAAAACCCACAAGAACCTAATAATAATAATACTTTATTTGTACCCCGCTACCATCTCCCCAAGGCCGAGCCCACAATACATCAGCAAAAACGACAACAACAGCAATACAAAATAATAAAATGAAACTCATAAACAAAAAACAAGCAGTAAACATTAACAATAGTACGACAATGCTTAAAAACCTATGGCTGGGCCAAATGTAATAATTAATTTTTTAAAAAAAAAATAATGCTGAGCATGACCAGGTGAAATATATAACTAGGATAGAATTTTGGAGAGGAAAGGGTGTGTGCAGACAATCCTAGAACATTGATAAAGTGCATTTAAGGACATATTGCTGGGAGTTTCCTAATTCTGGGAAGGCACACTGAAACAAACACGTTTTCAGGCTCCTCCTAAAGACTGACAGAGTTGGGGCTTGCCTAATGTCCTTGGGGAGTGAGTTCCAGAGTCGAGGGGCCACCACTGAGATGGCTCTCTCCCTCGTCCCCAACAATCGCGATTGCGATGGTGGTGGGAGTGCGAGCAGGGTCTCTCCAGATGATTGAAGAGATCATGTGGGTCCGTATACAGAGATGCAGTTACGCAGGTAGGCAGGTCCCAAACCATTTAGGCTTTGTAGGTAAGCACCTGCACTTTGAATTGGGACCAGTTAATGAATGGCAGCCAAATAGGTAGGATAAAATAGGTAGGATAAAAGGAGTCTCAAAAACCAGTGCAAAGGTTAAACCATGAACATAAATCCAAGGAGCAGGGTAAAATCATGAGCTTGAATAATCCAAAGACAAGGAATAAAACATCAACTTGAGTAATCCAAGAATCAAAGAACAATACGTGAGCTTGAGTTCATGGCAAAATCCCCAAGACATAAAGCAAAACTTGACCAGGACATGACGTGAAGCAAGAACCAAGGCAAGAGTTCCTTACTCTATCTGCCACGTTGCTTGATCTGAAAAGCTATTCTTTCCCTAATTAAGGACAGCAAAGCATTAAAGCAAGGGTCCTCAAACTTTTTAAACAGAGGGCCAGTTCATAATCCCTCAAACTGTTGGAGGGCAGGATTATAATTTGGAAAAAAAAATGAATTCCCATGCACACTGCACACATCTTATTTGTAGTGCAAGAAACACTTTAAAACAATACAATAATTAAAATGAAGAACAATTTTAACAAATATAAACTTATTAGTATTTCAATGGGAAGTGTGGGCCTGCTTTTGGCTGATGAGATAGGATTGTTGTTGTTGTGTGCTTTCAAGTCAGTCGTTTCAGACTTAGGTTGACCCTGAGCAAGGGCCAGGTAAATGACCTTGGAGGGCCACATCCGGCCCCCGGGCCTTAGTTTGAGGACCCCTGCATTAAAGCATTCCTTCGACCTTCAGTAGTCCCTCTCGTTCTCACTTTCCCATGGCCTGGCTTGCACCTGGAATCAAAACTGCCAAGGCAACAGGCCACCATATTGTTTCCAAGAGAAATCACCTGCAGGATTCCAGCTGTGATCCTGTTTGTCACTTATGTTGACATAAGCACATCCTTTTTTGGACCAGGTGCAAAAGGATGCACCCAGATAATGATGATGGTGATGGTGATGGTGATGTTCCCTCCAGAAAACTCAAAGCTAACAATAGCATTAAAAACAAAATCATCAAGTCAACAGGCCACCATATTGTTTACAACAGAAATCAGCCACACAATTTCAGCTGACATCTTGTTTGTGACTTATATGAGCATAAACACATCCTTTTCTGGAGCGGGAGCAGCGGGATACACAATGACGATGATGATGTTCCTGCCAAGAAACTCAAGGCAGCTCAAAACCACAACTAAACTAACAATAGCATTAAAATTAAAAACAAAACCACCAAGGCAAAAGGCCACCATATTGTTTCCAACAGAAATCACCTGCAGGATTCTAGCTGGCATCCTGTTTGCAGAGGGATGCTCCATAATGATGATATTCCCTCCAGGAAACTCAAGGCAGCTCAAAACCACAACTAAACTAACAATAGCATTACAAACAAAACCAACAAGGTAAGAGGCCACCATATTGTTTTCAGCAGAAATCACCTGCAGGATTTCAGATGGCATCCTGTTCCATGCAGCTTTTTCTGAGAGTTGAAGTCGAAAACATCTAGAGAGCCAAAGTTTGCCCCTCTTTCCCCATAATCTGAGTCTTAATGCAGCTTATCAAGGTTAAAGAGGCATTGCTATGAAATTTGCATTGCACAAAAATTAAAGCCACGGCTAAACTAACAATGAATCAACACAACTGGATGCCATACTGTTTCCAACAGAAACCAATTTCAAGATTGCAGCTGGCATCCTGTTTGTGACTTTACATGGGCATAAGAGATCTTATGAAGGTTAAAATAGGCACAGTTATAAAACTGGGATCATGCAAAAATTAGAAATAGAATTAAACTAACAATAGCATTAGAAATAGTACTTTTTAAAAGAAAACTGCAAAACCAAATGGATGCCATATTGTTTCCAGGAGAAATATTTTGCAGATTTTCAGCTGGAATCTGGCTTGTGATGTACATGGGCATAAGCACATCTGTATGCCATTTTTGGAACAGAGTGCAGAGGGATGTATGATAACAATGCAACTTTTGTCATCATTGAGGTTAAATCCACATCGCTTTAAATGAAACTGCAGACACTGGATCATACTGTGTAGATAGATAGATAGATAGATAGATAGATAGATAGATAGATAGATAGAGAGATAGAGAGATAGAGAGATAGAGATAGAGATAGAGATATAATGCTACCATACTACAGGCAGTGTGTGAGGTACAAACATCCAACTTGCAAACAACTCATAGTTAAGAATGATGAGGAAACACCAGGAAGTGAGAGTAACCTTCCCCTCGGAAGGGAAATTCACTCCAGAAAGAGTTATAATCACGGGGAAAAGGTGTCTCCACTGAAGCTTTATCTCTAATCCTTGTTTCCACAACAAGCTTTTTTCCCCCAAAACCCATGTGTCCTGCAAGAATACGGTGGTACCTTTGTTTTGAATGTCTGTCTAACTCTTGCTTCCAGCCAGTCCTCTATATCCCTCCATTTGCTGTGTGATTTGTCCGCTACACATCGCCGTGTTATCCTCCCCTCTGGGCAAAAGGCACCACTAAAGGATCCCATACAGAGACAGAAATCTAGAAGACAAGGGCAAAGTGTGTTGAACAAAGCACAATTTAAGCTCAAGAGTTACTGCAGGTGACGGTTCTGGAGTCTTTGGAGCAGTAAGTCCACTATGGACACTTCATGGAGCTTTCCAAGGTGCTGAACTGTTTCTCCCAAAGAGATTCAGCACTGTGAGTAACTCTTTGGAATTGCCATTGCCCAAGTACTAATGCCTCTCCACATTTATGGTTTTGAATTTGGGGGATTTGATTGAAATGTTTTCTCCAAGAATCTCTAGGTCCTCTAGTGTGACTATGTGCTCTACTTCCAGTGGAAGTTCACCATAGTTTTGCACTTTCATGGGGATCATATGCCCTTAACCCCAAGAGTCCCCAGTGGCGCAGTGGATTAAACCCTTGTGCCAGCAGGACTGAAGACTGACAGGTCGCAGGTTCGAATCTGGGGAGAGGTGGATGAGCTCCCTCTATCAGCTCCAGCACCTCGTGCGGGGACATGAGAGAAGCCTCCCACAAGGATGGTAAAAACATCAAATCATCCAGGCGTCTCCTGGGCAACGTTCTTGCAGACGGCCAATTCTCTCACACCAGAAGCAACTTGCAGTTCCTCAAGTCGCTCCTGACATGACAAAAAAAAAAAAAAACCTCAATGAATGTGAATGCTTGACTGTTCTACTAAATTATCACTATGCAGATATTTGCCAAGAGAAGCAACATGGATCTGATCTTGGAAGTATGGAAGCCTTGGTGCTGATCTTCCGTTGTTTTTGTTTTACAGGTTGAGCATCCCTTATCTGGAATTCCAAAATCCAAAATTGTCCATGTGGGTGGTTGACCCCATGTGGTCACAATATACACAGACTTTGTTTCATGCCCAGCCTTACCAAAAATTTATGGACCCATCCCATGTTAGGCAAATACAGGTACAAGTGTTCCCTCGCTGTTTCGCTGTTTGCTTACCGCAGACTCGCTATTTCGCTGTTTTCTCTGAACAGCCCCCGAGGTTTTCCATGTGTGTCCCTCGAGGTGAGCCCAGCGCCCCCACATCCTCCTCCTTGCCTCCTCCTCCTCGCCTTCACTCCCTCCTTGCCTTCCTTCTGCCGCCATGGTGCTAGAGGGGGCTTCTTCTTCCCAGCAGCCCCCTCGACGGCGGGAGAAGTTCTAGTGCAGCGGCCACCCTCGATTGGCTGGACTGGCCACCCTTGGGAGCTCCAGACAGCCTTCAAAAGGACTGTGGAAGGCCATGTCAGGCAGCGTGCCTTCCCTGTGTCCGGCACTGGTTTCTCTGGTGGCGGCTGGAAGGGTTTGTTTGGGCCTTCGACCCAAGTTTTGACCGTATACATTTTTTGGCTGTATAACTATTACAATTTCAGTGACTATTCTAAAGCCTTTGACTGTGTGGATCATAATAAATTGTGGCAAGTTCTTAGTGGGATGGGCATCCCAAGCCACCTTGTCTCTCTCCAGAGGAATCTGTACAAGGACCAAGTAGCAACAGTCAGAACTGACCACGGAACAACAGACTGGTTCAAGATTGGGAAAGGCGTACGGCAAGGCTGCATCCTCTCACCCAACCTTTTTAACGTGTATGCAGAACACATCATGCGAGGAAGTGCGGGGCTTGAGGAATGCAAAGCTGGGGTGGAAATTGCTGGAAGAAACATTAACAACCTCAGATATGCAGATGACACCACTCTGATGGCCGAAAGCGAGGAGGAGCTGAGGAGCCTTCTAATCAAGGTGAAAGAAGAAAGCGCAAAAGCTGGGTTGCAGCTAAACATAAAAAAAACCAAGATTATGGCAACAAGAATGATTGACAACTGGGAAATAGAGGGAGAAAATGTGGGGGCCGTGACAGACTTTGTATTTCTAGGCGCAAAGATTACTGCAGATGCAGACTGTGGCCAGGAAATCAGAAGACGCTTACTTCTTGGGAGGAGAGCAATGTCCAGTCTCGATAAAATAGTGAAGAGTAGAGACATCAGACTGGCAACAAAGATCCGCATAGTCAAAGCCATGGTATTCCCTGTAGTAACCTACGGATGTCAGAGCTGGACCTTAGGGAAGGCTGAGCGAAGGAAGATAGATGCTTTTGAACTGTGGTGCTGGAGGAAAGTGCTGAGAGTGCCTTGGACTGCGAGAAGATCCAACCAGTCCATCCTCCAGGAAATGAAGCCCGACTGCTCACTGGAGGGAAGGAGACTAGAGACAAAGTTGAAGTCCTTTGGCCACATCATAAGGAGACAGCAAGGCCTAGAGAAGACAATTATGCTGGGGAAAGTGGAAGGTAAAAGGAAGAGGGGCCGACCAAGGGCAAGATAGATGAATGGCATCCTTGAAGTGACTGGACTGACTTTGAAGGAGCTGGGGTGGTGACGGCCGACAGGGAGCTCTGGCGTGGGCTGGTCCATGAGGTCATGAAGAGTTGGAGACGACTGAACGAATGAACAACTATTACAATTAATATAGCATCCCTACTTCGCAGATTTTCACTTATCGTGGGTGGCCGTGGAATGGAAAACCAGCGATAAGTAAGGGAACACTGTATTCCAATACCCCCGAAATCCCAAATGCTTCTGATTCCTTGAATAAAGACTCCCTCTCTAAAAATGTCAACATTTTCCAGAATATCATCAATTTTTTCCTGGAACCTTCCCACAGAATCACACTGGAGGATATAGAAATCCCCGCAGAGGTGCTTTTACGAGAAATCTCTAGATCCTCTGGTATGAGTGGAAGGCACTGGCCAGAGATTTCTAGAGAGAACATTTTAATCAAATCCATGGATGAGTCTCCTTGTGGAGAGAGAAAAACAGGGTATAAATAAACATAATAATAAAGCAATAATAATATCCCCAAAAGCCAAACCTGCAGAGGGATGACTTCGTAATGCGCAGCAATGGTTGAAACCAGTACACAGTCCAGTACATGGACTCCAAACATTATCAGGGATTCCCAAAGTCATACTGCTTATTGTTTATTGTTTGCACTGTTCCACTGTTGTGAGCCGCTCCAAGTCCCCTCAGCAAGATGGGGCGAGATACAAATAAAGTTTATTATGTATTGTTGAAGGCTTTCATGGCCGGAATCACTGGATTGTTGTAGGTTTTTTCGGGCTATATGGCCATGTTCTAGAGGCATTCTCTCCTGACATTTTTGTCATGCGTTAGCATGAGTAGCATGCGAAATGTCAGGAGAGAATGCCTCTAGACCCTGGTCACATAGCCCGAAAAAACCTACAACAACCCAAAATTTATTATTATTATTATCATCATTATTATCTAGGCCAGTGTTTCTCAACCTGGGGGTCGGGACCCCTGAGGGGGTCGTGAGGGGGTGTCAGAGGGGTCGCCAAAGACCATAAGAAAACACAGTATTTTCTGATGGTCATGGGGATACCATGTGGGAAGTTTGAGCCAATTTTATCGTTGGTGGAGTTCAGAATGTTCTTTGATTGTAATGAACTATAAATCCCAGCAACTACAACTCCCAAATCTCAAGATCTATTTTCCCCAGACTCCATCAGTGTTGACATTTGGGCATATTGAGTGTCCGTGCCAAGTTTGGTCCAGATTCACCATTGCATGAGTCCACAGTGCTCTCTGGATATAGGTGAACTACAACTCCCAAACTCAAGGTCAATGCCCATCAAACCCTTCCAGTGTTTTCCATTGGTCATGGGAGCCAAGTTTGGTTCAAATCAATCGCTGGTGGAGTTCAGAATGCTCTTTGATAAATCCCAGCAACTACAACTCCCAAATTACAAAATCAATCCTCCCCCAACCCCACTAGCATTCACATTTGGGCATATTTGGTATTTGTGCCCAGTTTGGTCTAGTGAATGAAAATGCATGCTACATATCAGATATTTACATTATGATTTATAACAGTAGTAAAATGGCTGTTATGAAATAGCAATGAAAACAATATTATGGTTGGGGGTCACCACAACATGAGGAACTGTATTCAGGGGTCACAGCATTAGGAAGGTTGAGAACCACTGATCTAGGCCAACCACCTTCAGCCAGTCCCAAAAGCCACAGCCAAACTATCCCTGCCTGATGCCCATCCAACCACTGCTTTCAAACCTCCAACTCTGTCATGATGATGAACCAACTAATGTGGGCCAAAGTGTCTGTGTGTTCCTAATCATCAACTATCCCCACGGACACATTGTCCCCTTCTGACCCCCAGCTTTTTATTGGGGCCAGCGAGCCAGAACTTGGGGGAACTGAGCTCTTTCCTTCTCTTCCCAGGCGGCCCGTCAAGTACCTTTTGTGCAGCGACAACCATGGCATCAAGCCCCCGACCCCCGAGCAATACCTCACCCCACTCCAGCAAAAGGAGGTCTGCATCCGGCACCTGCGGGCCAGGCTGAAGGACACCCACGAGCGGCTGCAGGACAGGTATCCATGCCCAATTTGCATCGCAATCCAAATAGAAGTGAAATACAGCAACATCAACAAGATTTGGCTTGATGTATTGTCGAAGGCTTTCATGGCCGGAATCACTGGGTTGTTGTGGGTTTTTTCGCGCTATATGGCCATGTTCTAAAGGCATTCTCTCCTGACATTTCGCCTGCATCTATGGCAAGCATCCTCAGAGGATGCTTGCCATAGATGCAGGCAAAACGTCAGGAGAAAATGCCTTTAGAACATGGCCATATAGCCCAAAAAAACCCACAACAACCCAAGATTTGGCTTCTTTTGCATTCTGAATGGGGAAGAAAGAGCAGCCAGCCATTCTTGGACGAGATCCATTAGCAGCAGAGGTGTGTTGAAGCCATTCTGTTTTTTAGTCTGAATTTGAAAAGCACTCTCCAAAGGGACAGCACTCACCCCAAACAGGCTCAGCACCTTCAAAGATCCTTTAAAGTTTGGATTAAAAGGCAGGGTGGATTCAACACCCTGCTGATGTGGCAGTCCTTCTCAAAGTAGCCTCAGGTGTTTATCATGGGGCTTTTCAGAGATGAATAGTAATTGCCCCTGATTGGTTGTGTTTCCCAGGCCCCTTTTGTAGGCTGGCTATTCATTTATAGAATTTTACTCCATTTCCAATCCTGCATCCCAGAGTGGCTTGCAAATACTCGAGATGATAACTCACTTGTTCATTCCTTTGAAAATAATAGGGTTCACCATGATTTGCAATTTGCATGTAGGTAAAGGTTGTCCCCTGACATTAAGTCCAGTCATGTCTGACTCTGGAGTGTGATGCTCTTCTCCATTTCTAAGCTGAAGAGCTGGCGTTGTCCATAGACACCTCCAAGGTCATGTGGCCAGCATGACTGCATGGAGCACCGTTACATATGCACATATGCCAAATCCGGAGCAGCTTTTCTTATGAATAGGAGATTCCATCTGAACACGAGGAAGAACTTCCTGACTGTGAGAGCCGTTCAGCAGTGGAACGCTCTGCCCCGGAGTGTGGTGGAGGCTCCTTCTTTGGAAGCTTTTAAACAGAGGCTGGATGACCATCTGTCAGGGGTGATTTGAATGCAATATTTCTACTTCTTGATAGAATGGGGTTGGACTGGATGGCCCATGAGGTCTCTTCCAACTCTTTGATTCTATGATTCTATGAATACTGGAATCAATCTATGTACCATATAAAATTAGCAGTTACTGAGGTTGCTTCTACTCTGTAGAATGAATGAAGCTTGACATCACTTTAACTGCAATGGCTCAATGCTATGGAATCCAGGGAGTTGTAGTTTGGAGAGGCATCAGCACTCTTTGACAGAGAAGACTAAAGACCTTATAAAACTACAACTCCCAAGAGTCTATAGCACTGAGCTATGGCAGTTAAAGTGGAATCAGATTACATCAAATATATAACACAGATTCAGTGGTTTCCAGACTTTGGTTCTTATACTTCAACTCTCAAGATCTCCAACCTGATTTGCCAGCAGTCAGGAATTCTGAAAGCTGAGGTCCAAAACATCTTGAAAATGAAAGTTTGGGAACCAGTGGTAGATGCACCCTGAGTCAGCTTGCTAAAACCAGCCAATAAAATCCAGTTTAGAGAAATTAAACCTCTGGTGCCAGACATTTGGATTTGTGGGTTGTGTAGGTTTTTCCGGGCTATATGGCCATGTTCTAGAGGCATTTTCTCCTGACGCTTCGCCTGCATCTATGGCAAGCATCCTCAGTGGTAGTGAGGTCTGTTGGAAGTAGGAAAATGGGTTTATATATCTGTTGAATGACCAGGGTGGGGCAAAGAACTCTTGTCTGGTGGAGCTAGGTGTGAGTGTTTCAACTGACCACCTTGATTAGCATTTGATGGCTTGGCAGTGCCTGGGGAAATCTTGGATTTGTTCTTGGTATGGAAGAGATATGGAATGGCTTTTATTTGTGATGGATTGGGATAAGGAACCATGACTTGTGTGTCTGCCACAGGGATTCTGAAATCGACGACCTGAAGACCCAACTCTCCAGGATGCAGGAGGACTGGATCGAGGAGGAATGCCATCGGGTGGAGGCCCAGCTGGCTCTGAAAGAAGCCCGGAAGGAGATCAAGCAGCTCAAGCAAGTCATTGACACGGTCAAGAACAACCTGATCGAGAAGGACAAGGGCCTCCAGAAGTACTTTGTGGATATCAACATCCAAAACAAGAAGCTGGAGACCTTGCTGCAGACCATGGAGGTGGCCCAAGACGGGAAAGAGGAAGGGGCGGCAGAGTCGGCAGGCGGATCTCCAGCCCGATCCTTGACCCGCAGCTCAACTTACACCAAGTTGAGTGACCAAGGGGCTGCCGACCGGAACATCGGTGGCTCCCAGACCATCTCGGTGGATGATCCAGCAGATAGTGGTTTCGCCGCGGCAGACGACACCTTGAGCCGGACGGATTTCTTGGATCAGAGCAGCCTCATCTCCTCTGGTGTGGATTGTGGCACCGATGAACTCTCCCTCCAGACCAACTCTACTTTGGGCTCCCGAGTCCCGACCAGCTCCACGTACGAGAAACTGATGGGGTCCCAGCAGAGCGTGGAGGCCGCCGTTCAAGCCAGCTGCATGCAGGAGCAAGCCATCCAGACGGACTTTGTACCTTACCAGCCAGATCTCGACACCATTGTGGAAAAGGTTAAGAAATCCCAAGCCTGTGCCATGGCCAATACAACCATGGCACGGGACTCTGAAATAGAGGATGCTACAGAGGCAAAGAGCGCCGAGGTTCATTCCCAAACGCTCCCAGAGATGAGGGACTTTGCAACGGATAACCCCAGCTCAGATATTATCATCAACGCTGGGGAAGAAGGTGATAATCCTTTAAAAAAATAATATTGCATTTATATTCATTTCATTACAAATCATCTCTATAATTCATATAATTACTTCTTTTCCTCTCCCCCGTTGTGCCACCCCTTGTGCTCCCCATCTCCGGATTCCTTCTTTTCTTTATGTTCTCACCAGAACCTCATTTCTTTTGGTGGGGATTGGATCCCATCTTCTTTCCTTAAAGTTTCCTCAATAAATATTTTCCATATATTTTCACAATCATTATCCTTCCTTAGGCCTTTTTTAACCTTTAGATAGCATGTTAATTTATCATTTATTGGGTTGTTGTAGGTTTTTCGGGCTATATGGCCATGTTCTAGGGGCATTTTTCCTGACGTTTCGCCTGCATCTATGGCAAGCACCCTCAGAGGTAGTGGGGTATGAAAATGAACAAAATCTGGCTACCAAAATTAAAAAAAAACTCTAAAATTAGAACAGCACAACAACAGAGAGGAAACAAACAAGGACATCTAATCACCTCTCAACAAAAGATTGCCCCAGGCACTGCCAAGCAATCAAATGCTAATCAAGGTGGTCAGTTGAAACATTCATACGTAGCTCCAGCAGACAAGAGTCCTTTGTCTCACCCTGGTCATTCCACAGATATATAAACCCCCTTTTCCCTAGTTCCAACAGATCCTCATTACCTCTGAGGATGCTTGCCATAGATGCAGGCAAAACGTCAGGAGAAATGCCTCTAGAACATGGCCATATAGCCCGAAAAAACCTACAACAACCCAGTGATTCCGGCCATGAAAGCCTTCAACAATACATTTATCATTTATTGCTAATTTTCAAATTTCCTTGTGCCATTTTTCTATCTCTCCTTTCCAATATTTTGCTATTAGTAGCCTTGCAGCTGTTCACAACATCGTTATCAGATTCTTTTAATTTTCCTTCCATTAGTCTGTATTATATATAGATAACAGTATAGTCGCCGGATTTATATTAATTTTTTTTCTTCATAATACTGTCTATTTCTACTATAACTTTTCCCCAGAACCCCTGTACATATTTGCATTGCCATCACATGTGGATATATGTACCCCTTTCTTGGCACTCCCTTCAACATTTTTCTGAACAACCCTTATCCATACTGTGTATCTTTGTCAGGGTCAGGTACCATTTCATAGAATCATAGAAGAGACCTCATGGAGGAGACCTCATGGGCCATCCAGTCCAACCCCCTGCCAACCCCTTTATTCCGCTTTGGTTAGACCACACCTGGAATATTGTGTCCAATTCTGGGCACCACAATTGAAGAGAGATATTGACAAGCTGGAATGTGTCCAGAGGAGAGCGACTAAAATGATCAAGGGTCTGGAGAACAAGCCCTATGAGGAGCGGCTTAAGGAGCTGGGCATGTTTAGCCTGAAGAAGAAAAGGCTGAGAGGAGATATGATAGCCATGTATAAATATGTGAGAGGAAGCCACAGGGAGGAGGGAGCAAGCTTGTTTTCTGCTTCCTTGGAGACTAGGACGCAATGGAACAATGGCTTCAAACTACAATAAAGGAGATTTCATTTGAACATGAGGAAGAACTTCCTGACTGTGAGAGCCGTTCAGCAGTGGAACTCTCTGCCACGGAGTGTGGTGGAGGCTCCTTCTTTGGAAGCTTTTAAACAGAGGCTGGATGGCCATCTGTCAGGGGTGATTTGAATGCAATATTCCTGCTTCTTGGCAGAATGGGGTTGGACTGGATGGCCCATGAGGTCTCTTCCAACTCTTTGATTCTATGATTCTATGAAGCAGGAATATTGCATTCAAAGCATCCCTGACAGATGACCATCCAACCTCTGTTTAAAAGCTTCCAAAGAAGGAGCCTTCACCACACTCCGGGGCAGAGAGTTCCACTGCTGAACAGCTCTCACAGTCAGGAAGTTCTTCCTCATGTTCAGATGGAATCTCCTCTCTTGTAGTTTGAAGCCATTGTTCCGCGTCTAGTCTCCAGGGAAGCAGAAAACAAGCTTGCTCCCTCCTCCCTGTGGCTTCCTCTCACATATTTATACATGGCTATCATGTCTCCTCTCAGCCTTCTCTTCTTCAGGCTAAACATGCCCAGCTTCTTAAGCCAGCTCCTCATAGGGCTTGTTCTCCAGACCCTTGATCATTTTAGTCGCCCTCCTCTGGACACATTCCAGCTTATCAATATCTCTCTTGAATTGTGGTGCCCAGAATTGGACACAATATTCCAGATGTGGTCTAACCAAAGAGGAATAGAGCATGGGGAGCATGACTTCCCTAGATCTAGACACTATGCTCCTCTTGATGCAGGCCAAAATCCCATTGGCTTTTTTTTTGCCGCCACATCACATTGTTGGCATTCGATGAGTGAGCCAACACCCTGAGATATGGATGGAAGATGATGTATAATCGATTTTAGTATGACAACTGACCATTGTAGTTATTGAATATATTTGCTGTTTTAATGTGTTATTGTAAAATGAATCATGTTGTTTTACTGACTGTATGTGATTTTATGGTTGGAAACCGGTCTGAGTCCCTCAAAAGAGGTGAGAAGGTCGGTATACAAAACTTTTAAATAAATAAATAAATAAATCGGCTCATGTTTAACTTGTTGTCCACGAGGACTCCAAGATCGACCTTCTCACCTCTTTTTTCACACGTACTGCTCTCGAGCCAGGCAATGTCTCTCATTCTGTATCTTTGCATTTCGTTTTTTCTGCCTAAGTGGAGTCTCTTGCATTTGTCCCTGTTGAACTTCATTTTGTTAGTTTTGGCCATTCATCTCTCTAATCTGTCAAGTAGTAGTTTTTTGTTGATAAATTCTTGAGGTGTCTTGCTCTCCATAATTTTTCCCAATTCCTTTCTCCCAGAAGGTGATAATCCTGATGGGCAATCAGTGTCCAAAGCATGTGGCAGTCCTGCGGCGCAGCAACCAGAGAGCCATTCGGTGAGCATCGACTGTGCTCCGGAAGAGGAGACTTCGGAGGCCGCCCCAGAGGCATCCGCAGCAGCATCCACCGTGGAGCCCAGAACGTATTGGAGCCGCCACTTCATCGTGGATCTCTTGGCCGTGGTGGTCCCAGCGGTGCCGACAGTGGCCTGGCTGTGCCGTTCCCAAAGGAGGCAGGGTCAACCCATCTACAACATAAGCTCCCTGCTCCGGGGCTGTTGCACCGTAGCTTTGCACTCCATCCGCAAGATCAGTTGCCGCTCCGTAGCCGCCCCCAGCAGCTCCTGCCCTCAGCCGTGATCCCAGTTGCCATCCAGTCCAAAGGTCACATCGCACGCACAGGCGCTGATCTATGCGGGAAGGGAAACAGTTCAGATTGAGCTGACCGCTGATTGTAAATTCCATCCACGCACTTGAAACGTTTTTTTAAAAATATCTTTATTTGGGGGCAACTTGAGGAGAGTTCTGTCCTGCTGCAACTTCATTTATGCAAAAGACTTAGGAGGAAACATGGCTGCCGTTTCTAGATCTGTTTTCTAGACGTCCGTAATGGAAGAGAGTGGTTTTCTCCATTGTGCCGAAGGATGTTTACCTTCCAGTTGGTACGGCTTCTGGGAACTGACTTTTCACTTGAGGAGAGTTACCGTCATTCTATTTTCCTTGAAATGCTGGATGAGCCAAACTTTCTCTCCTTTTAACTCTTGACATTTTGAGCCACGCTTTCTGCATCCTTAGCCCAAATCTTTCCCTTTTCTCAGCAGCTGGCCCTAAGATGGTGTCCATACTGCACAGAAATACCACTTCAATACCACTTTAACTGCCATGGTTCCATACCTGATAACTCTGACCTTCAACTACTTAGAAATCTGGGTTGTTGTAGGTTTTTTCAGGCTATATGGCCATGTTCTGGAGGCATTCTCTCCTGACGTTTCGCCTACATCTATGGCAAGCATCCTCAGAGGTAGTGAGGTCTGTTGGAACTAGGAAAAAGGGTTTATATATCTGTGGAATGAGCAAGGTGGGACAAAGGACTCTTGTCTGCTGGAGCTAGGTGTGAATGTTTCAATTGACTACCTTGATTAGCATATAATGGCCTGACAGTGCCCCTAGCTCCACACCTAGCTCCAGCAGACAAGAGTCCTTTGTCCCACCCTAGTCATTCCACAGATATATAAACCAAGGACATCTAATCACCTCTCAACAAAAGATTGCTCTAGGCACTGCCAGGCAATCAAATGCTAATCAAGGTGGTCAGTTGAAACATTCACACCTAGCTCCAGCAGACAAGAGTCCTTTGTCTCACCCTGGTCATTCCACAGATATATAAACCCAAGGAACTCTTGTCTGCTGGAGCAATCTTTTGTTGAGAGGTGATTAGATGTCCCCGATTGTTTTCCCTCTGCTGTTTTGCTGTGTTAATGTGGTCAGTTGAAAAATTCACACATAGCTCCAGCAGACAAGAGTCCTTTGTCTCACCCTGGTCATTCCACAGGTATATAAACCCAAGGAACTCTTGTCTGCTGGAGCTAAGTGTGAATTTTTCAACTGACCACATTAACACAGCAAAACAGCAGAGGGAAAACAATCGGGGACATCTAATCACCTCTCAACAAAAGATTGCTCCAGGCACTGCCAGGCTATCAAATGCTAATCAAGGTGGTAGAACATTCACACCTAGCTCCTGCAGACAAGAGTCCTTTGTCCCTCCCTGGTCATTCCACAGATATATAAACCCAATTTTCCTAGTTCCAACAGACCTCAGTACCTCTGAGGATGCTTGCCATAGATGCAGGCGAAACGTCAGGAGAGAATGCCTCCAGAACATGGTCATATAGCCTGAAAAAACCTACAACCCAGCTGGATCTCTCTTGCAAAGCTGGCTTTGGAGAAGGAGAAGGAGGAAAGGCACGTAGCCTCTCAATGGAAAGGTACATTTTCACCTGTAGAAGCTGAGAAAGTTAGTTATTTTTTAAAGAAACCCTTAGTTATAGTTCCAAAATCCCCTCAAAAGTACTCATTGTTCTAGTCAAAAGTTTTTCAAAGAAAAGCTTTCGTTTTAAACGACTGAAATAGTTACTTGCTAGTTACTTTTTTATAAAAAGAGCAACTTAATAGTATAAGTTAAGGGTTTAGCTATAGATGCTAAGCACCCATCACATCATCTCAACACCCAGAAACGACCACGAGGCACAGCACACGCCAGCGCATGAACCATGTGATCTTCCTCCTCCACATTCACACTCATAGAATCATAGAATCCTAGAGTTGGAAGAGACCTCATGGGCCATCCAGTCCAACCCCATTCTGCCAAGAAGCAGGAATATTTCATTCAAAGCACCCCTGACAGATGGCCATCCAGCCTCTGTTTAAAAGCTTCCAAAGAAGGAGCCTCCACCACACTCCGGGGCAGAGAGTTCCACTGCTGAATGGCTCTCACAGTCAGGAAGTTCTTCCTCATGTTCAGATGGAATCTCCTCTCTTGTAGTTTACTTATATCAATGACACACTACAAAAAGGAAATAATTCCATGTTGCAATCATAATGTATGTAACTGAGTGATGCCTTAGTTGTTGCAAAAAGGAATTAGTGATAAATATCTAGTTGGGTGTAGCTTCTTTCTTCTACAGTACAAACAACCCTTCTATTGATTATCGTGTAATAATAGAACTTATTGATGGTTTATGGCAGGCATGGGCCAATTTGGGCCCTCCAGGTGTTTTGGACTCCAACTCCCGCAATTCCTGACAGCCTCAGGCCCCTTCCTTTCTTGGGCTGTTAGGAATTGTGGGAGTTGGAGTCCAAAACATCTAGAGGGCCCAAGTTGGCCCATGCCTGATCTACACTGTCAAATTAATTCAGTTTGAGACCACGTGAGAGTTAACCCTGGGAGTTGTAGTTTTACATGACTTCTCTTTAAAAAATCACAATTCCCACTTTTCCATCGCATTGAGCCATGGCAGTTAAAGTGTTCTCAAACTACATTAATTCTACACTGTAGATACAATCTTAAATTTTATGAACGGGCCAGATTTTGTTCGGACTGGGTTGTTGTAGGTTTTTTCAGACTATATAGCCATGTTCTAGAGGCATTCTCTCCTGATGTTTTGCTTGCATCTATGGCAAGCATCCTCAGAGGTAGTGAGGTCTGTTGGAACTATGAAGATGGATTTATTTATTCATTATTTAGAGCTTTTATAACTCAGTCTTCTCGACCTCCGAAGAGGGACTCAGGCCGGCTAACAACAGGAAATTCAGATACAAATAAGCTAAAATATAATAACATCATAGTACATTAATACATTACAATACATTAAAATACAGATCAAATAATTACATAAAGCCAAGTCGTCGAGGTAATCACAAATTCATCATCATCCGCCCGTGTGGTCAACAGTTATTGACTCGATCATCATTCTGAGAATGCTATGTTCCAAAGCCAAGATTTTACCAGCTTTCTGAAAGTCAGGAGGGAAGGGGCAGATCTGATCTCCATCGGGAGAGAGTTCCAAAGACGAGGGGCCACCACCGAGAAGGCCTTGTCCCCACCAGACGCGATAGGAGCCCCCGGTGGCGCAGTGGGTTAAAGCCCTGTGATGGCAGGACTGAAGACTGACAGGTCGCAGGTTCGAATCCGGGGAGAGGTGAATGAGCTCCCTCTATCAGCTCCAGCTCCTCATGCGGGGACATGAGAGAAGCCTCCCACAAGGATGATAAAACATCAAAATCATACGGGCGTCCCCTGGGCAACGTCCTTGCAGATGGCCAATTCTCTCACAACAGAAGCGACTTGCAGTTTCTCACGTCGCTCCTGACACGACAAAAAAAAACCCAGACGCGATTGCGAAGGTGGTGGGACCGAGAGCAGGGCCCCTCCTTAACAACCTTAACAAGATCTTAATAACCTTGATGGTTCATAGGGGAGAATCCATTCGGACAGGTAAACTGGGACGGAGTCGTTTAGGTCTCTTCCAATTCTTGGAGTCTATGATTCTATGTCTGTTGGAGCTAGGTGTGAATGTTTCAACTGACCACCTTGATTAGCATTTGATGGCCTGGCAGTAGGTGTGACAAGAGTTCTTTGTCCCACCCTGGTCATTCCACATATATATAAACCCATTTTCCTAGTTCCAACAGACCTCACTACCTCTGATAATGCTTGCCATAGATGTAGGTGAAACATCAGGAGAGAATGGCTCTAGAACATGGCCATACAACCCAGTCCAAACAAAATCTGATATTTAAGATTGTATCTACAGTGTAGATTGTATCTACAGTGTAGTATTAATGTCCAAAAAACCTACAACAACCCAGTGATTCCGGCCATGAAAGCCTTCGACAATACATTTGTTAGGACTGTCTGTGCAGTCTCAGAAACACTCACTCCCAAGCTTTACATCTTCCTAGAGCTAAATGTTTAGCTATATCTTCCTCTTTAGGTCCCTAACTCCTCTATCTATCCTATCTATCTATCTAACCTATCTATCTATCTATCTATCTATCTATCTATCTATCTATCTATCTATCTATCTATCTATCTATCTATCTATCTATCTATCTATCTATCTATCTATCTATCTAGTATCTATCTATCTAGCAGAGATTGCTAGGGCACTCCATGCAATCTCGGAAACACTCCCAACTTCCACATCTCAGTGTTCAGGTATCCCTGCCTCAAGTGAAAACCTAACTTTTTAGGTCCTTGAACCCCCAAGCGATTGAGGTTTTCCGATGATAAAATGTGAGCAGAACGATGCCGAGGATATGCAACGTTGAACCTTGAGCATGGACTCAATTTGACTTGTTCCAAACTCAGCTCCAAAAAAGAGGACGTTGGAGACTATGGAGAAAAAGAGAGAGGCAATCCGGCACTTCTGCCTCGTTTACTCCCTGTTTAAGAGTGTTTTGGAATGTAGTGGCTCACGAATGCAAAACATTTTTGAAAAGAAATCACTTTTGACGACCACGGAAATGTCACTTGCCCTTATTCTCCTCCTTCACCACCCCCAGAAACCACATTCATGAGACTTTTTGTGGGACTCTGCGCTCTGCCAACCGGAGGGAAAAGAACTCTGCTTCTTCTGCTCCGTTTCTTGGACGCTGCTCCGGCGAAAAGAGAGGGGGGAAACAAAAGACTTGGAGAAGCTTAGATATATATACCTCGGATAGCGAAACCCGCCATGCCCCCGTCTTGGGCGCCGTGGCGAAGAAGTCCTTAAGTTTGTTCCTGTCTCGCTTTGCACTATGTTCACTTTTTTTTTGTTTTGGCAAACTTGAACCTTTTCGGACGAATGTCCCGGCTGCACCCGTTTGGGTGGGTTTTGTGTTCCAATGGGCAGCCTTCTTTGGTGCTGCTGGTCAGACAGATTCCTTTTTTAGGACCGAAGAAGCAAAGCAACCTTAAGTAAGGTACTTGGATGATGTCGCTCTTCAGTCCCCCAGCTGCTTTTTTCAGTCGTCCTGCAAGCTTTGGAGAAAAAGCCAGAAAGCTGTTTGGTTGGAGGCTTCCTTTGATCTCACTTGAGGTTTGGGTCATGGCTTAGGGCAGGTATGGGCAAACTTGGGCCCTCGAGGTGTTTTGGACTTAAGCTGCTAAGAGGGAAAGGAAAGGGCCTGAGACTACGCTTGTTTGAACCAAAAAAGTGGTTCAAAACTCATTTCGGATGTAGTTCGAATTCGGAAATCAATTCCGATTTTCATAGAAAAAACATGTTCAAAACTTTTTGAAACTTCTGAGACTTCCGAATTCCAAGTAATGGTTTGAAGGTGTTATTTCCTGTTTCATTGGGTGGTCTTTACTTTGAAAGTAGTTGTTTTACTCCAGAAAGTGGGGTGGGAAGCGAGGAAATTCATCCACGCTGGTTTAAAACGCTTGCCAAACTCCAGGCAGAAGCGAGGGGAGAGGAGAGAGAGAGAGGAAATTCACCACTCTGTTTTAAAATGCGTGCCCAGACTCCAGATGGTCACTCAGCCTCAATATTAATACTAATACTAATAATAA